TTTAGTTTGTTTAAAGACCAACTTGAAAATGTTTTTGTAGTCTGTACTCTGATAAACTAAAATAACAAACTCTCAAATAGTTTTGTGTTTACATTTATGTTTCCTTTACCTCAAGTTTGGACTGTTCCCTGGGGTTGCTCTCGATTAGTGTGATCAGGTCTGCTTTTCAGTTCAGGCTTCAAGCGTAAAGCAGTTGAGTCAACTACTATCTTCTCTACCCTTTACGCTCACAGTTGTTGCAGACAGAAATTGTCTAGGACTATGTGAATTACTGCTGTCTGTAAATATTCCCCAGGGCTTCTCCTGACCTCTGAGCTTCGGAAATAACTATTCTGTTGACTTCAGTCCATGTAAGCACCACATGCTATTAGATCTATGTGGTGTAAAGAGCTGGAAACTAATACGAGAATGAGATGCCAGTCTGGATGCTGCTGCTATAGAAATAAAGATGATGTATGATTAAAAATTAAACTTGCACAATAAATGCTGTGAAACATAACCTTCACTTTGCTGGAGATTTTGCTGTGTCTCTGATATTTCAAAGAGCGGTGGGATTTTTTTGTGGTTTTCTTGTTTGGTGTTTTTTGTAGTGCTTTCAGTGCAGCCTTCCGCTGTAGGAAGATAGTTAGGTAATTGCAAGTATTGTTATTGCTTAGAGTATTGATGCTGTCCCCTTTACTTTGGGGACTAGAATAAGGTTGGAAGTGGTGTTTCATCTGCACTGTCTTTATGGTGTCTTACCATGACTCTTACAGCTTTGCTGAATCTTTTCGGGGATACTGAAACATTCAGGGAATAGGTTCATGCTCCCGATTGGGAACTCTTGGACAGACGCTGTATGCTTGTGCTAGGTGCACACTAGTTGTAAACTCTTTCAGCTCCAGCTTCTGTCTATGTAAGTGGTATAACTAAAGGAACAAAAGGAAAGAACTGAAGTCGCCCTGTTTAAGTAGTCCATAACATTGTGCTACAAAGGGTCTGGAGCAGTTGATTTTATGACCTGACTTCTGAGGTAAGCAGAAATTTAAGATTTTTACAGGGCATGTGTGAGAGCTTTGTCCTCCTGCGTAATTTGCCCTTCACGGTTGAGATGTTTTATATTGCCAGCTTCTGACATCAAAATACACTTATAGTACAGTTGGCACTAATTAAAAGGATAATGAAAACTCATTTTAATTTCAACTTTCTCTTTGCAGTCATAATCTTTAGAGGTTTCTGACAAGGTCCAGACAACATTTCTGTTCTGATGTTGCAATGGTTTGTTCCAAATAACTGGCTTTCTTCCTTACTCTTAATATACTAAAAAAAATAGGCTGGAATAGCAATTCTAGCTTGCTTAAAATCTAGCCAAATAGGTGAATATACTTTTCCTTATGACTCTTCTGTTTTAGGGTTTGTTTTAAAAAGGTCCTTTTAAAAAGACTTAATGCACCAAGTGTTTCTTGCAGCAGAAGTGCCTGCTGTGAGGGAATTGCAGTGAAAGAAAGAGGAGAGATTCTTATCTCGTTTGTCTGGAGTTTCTATCTCTGTAGTAATTACCAGAGCTTGAGGTACTTATGGGTTACATATATAAAATGGCTGTTTACACCTCTGTTTTGTGCGGAACTTAAATCTATTGACTGCTAAACCCCAATTTACTGCTCTCCCCAGTTCCTCATCTAACCTCTGTCAGCCCCCACGCTAACAAGCTGTATAGCATACCAGAAGCCTAGTTGCCGTGAACTGTTTGAACCCCAAAGGAGGTTTGTTTCAGCTTGTACCCCTTTGCTGATCAAATCATGGTACAAGAAGAGATATTATTTGCTCCAGTTGGTAGAAATAAAATTATTTGGGGTAGTGTTTCCTGAACTTCCTGGATTAGCAAACTGCTGTCAGCCCTTAGTGTGTCTCATGGATCACTGGTGTAATGGGAGGGAACGGAGGTGTTCACAAATCTCACTGTTAATGCTGTTCTGCAGACTCCTGGCTATGGCTTCATGGATCAAGAATGATCTGTGGAAAACATCAGGAAAGGCTGATTTTGGGATCTATCTGCAAGACAAAACTGAAGTCCAGTTTAGAAAACAGTAGAAGGTGATGCTGTACACTGCTCATTCCTGTCACTGGAGCAGACGGGTCGTGACCATGTGCTTCCCAGGTTGTCACCTTCTCCTGAACAGTGCCTCGAATCAGAGCGTTCAGGGTGGTTTTTAGCAGAGGGTCATTTTTTCTGTAAGGCTTAGAGTTGCAAAGATAAATTGATTCTATGTTGAAGAATAATTGGTGCAGTGAGATCTTTCTGATTGTACATGCCCCTAAAATAATTGTGAAATGACGTTCTTCGTAGTTACTAATTAGATTAAAGGAATATAGGGTTTATTTTAAAAAATACTTTGAACTTACTTCACTGTTCCTCAAACCATGCAAGAAAAAGAAATAAGCTGTTACTGAATTCTGCATTGTTTAATTCTATGTTTGATTCTTTTGGGTCGTGTTGAAGAGAGATGTAATTGTTTTAGAAGTTAAGGAATGCTAATTAAAGGCACTTCTTTACTTGGATGCACTGTTGCAATTAAGCCTTACATTGGTAAAGGCTTGGATTATGATAGGAAAATCCACATCAAATTTTAGCATATCCTGATGTATTGAAGAAACAAATAATTATTTAGCATTCCTAGCTACTGTCATAGCATAATTGCAAAAATAATGGAGATTGAACACACTGGTCCTCATTTTCCCAGTGGGAATGAGTTACAGGTAGATGTAGAATGGTTCAAATTGTATCCAGACTGACAGTTACTTTCCTGTTAGCATCACCTCAGTCTTACCTGGGCTGGACTTTAGGCACTCCTTCATGCAGTAGCTGGCAGCAGCAAATCTTGCCTCACTTGCAGGAGGGAGAGACAGGGCTCTAATATAATCAGCATCCTGAAAATAATTCCATCGTTCCATCTCCTTGTGTTCAGCCTGCGCAAGAGGATGTATAGGGAGATTCTGTAATGTGCTGTGTCTGTTCAGGTCTGAAGAGTTATACTTTTGAATATGCCGAGCTAGGAAAGAATAGACCTTCTCAAGCTGTATTTTCTGCTCCTGTCTCGGGGCAGACCAATGCCTCCTGCTCAGAGTTCTCACGGGCTGCCTTCAGGTCTGACAATCACTGTCAGACACCTGATCTTCAGCAGTTGCCAGGAGCTCTAATGTTGCTAATGCAATTTTTGTTCTCTAACGTGGCCTGCACCTAAAAATGTCAAAGATCACAAAGATACTGGGTTGCTACACAGTCATTGCTTTTTCTTCAGATCTGAGGAGAGGTTAAACATGAGTATGCAGTCCAGGAATATATAAATTCACACCAGTGAAAGTGAGTCCTCTGCTGTTTGAGACTTGCTTCTGGTTATGAGTATGTTGATTGCTTTGTGTAGGCTTAATACACTCATGTTGAGCTGAAAACAGCATAAGCAAAGGAGAAGAAATTATTAGAGGTCATTTGTCTTCTGATCCTGACCTTGCCACAAGATTTTCTATCACCAAGGACAATTTGCTTTCTTTGTAAAATCCGCTTAGTATTTCTGATCCCTAAAGGAGTTAGAAAGCTATTTGTCAATCATTTTGGAAGACCAGAAGATTCTTGACTGATTTATGTAGAGTGTGAAGTATGAGTAGCTGTAATAAAGAGAGTGCAAGGCAGACAAATACACAGTTTTTAGAAGCATTTAGGGTTTGTTATGGGGTGAAAAGGATGGTTCTTCTCATTGTGGTAGGGGGCAAGGTTTGCATTTGTTAAGGGCCTCTCTAAATGGGCTCGTAACTGCTAATGTTATAGTTTAAGATCCGCTGAAGTATTTGTTGGTTTTCTGTTATGTGGAAAAAAATATGGTAGATTTCAGATTCAGTTTAAATGTGTAGCTTATTAACTAAATTGCTTATCCCAGAATATTTAGGATTTTTCCAGATAAACATCTTGGAAACAGTGGCTTAATGGACTTTCTCTAGGAGGAAGCTGCAGTGTGGAAAGTACTAGGAAGTTCCTACAGTGAGCGGCTTACAAACTAATTGTAGTGAGTTGTCCCCATAATGTTTGTGTTTGAACAGCATTTAACACAGTGGGGCTTTCATCCTGCTTAGGTCTTGTAGTCACTGCTAGGTTAAACATATCCTCCCACCACCATATTTTTCTCTGAACGCCTTCTGACATGTCAATAATTTTCTAATAACATAATGTCTGGGACTTCAAGCATTACTTCAGGTGTTGTCATGACTGAGCTATGTGGAGATAGTTTCTTGTTTACTCTGTCTTGCATCACTCTCACAACTGATTTGGAATTCAGTTACCTAGAATCTTTCAGCAGACCTGCTTTCTTGGTCTTTTCACACAAAACTTTTGAATAATTATGTAAATATTTTAGCTTCCCAATTCTTTAATTTTGAATTCAGTTTTACTTTCTGACTCTGCAATATGATTAATCTCTATCTTAATTTTATGCAGTTGTGGCAGAACATTTTAGTTAACATGATGCTGAAAACAGCTTGATAGCTAACTGACGCAATCTGTCACAATCCGCAGGGTTATGGTCAAGAATTCCAAGATAAGGACTTTTATTGTGGGAGTTGTCATGCAAACTACAGCTTGTCCTGCTCTCTGAAGATGACATTGTCAGCATCAGTTCAGTTGAAGATGAGTTGGAATAATGTTTGTGCACTTTAAGCCTGTGATTTAGACTAGGCTTTGCAATGTGGAAAAGAGAAGGGTGGTCTTTAATCCTTTCGGATTGAATTTCAATTCATTTGAGATCATCTTTTCAAAGTAAAGCACTGTGGTGATTATGTATACTTCACTTGGCTTACATGCTCCAGCTAGGAAGCAAAGCTTTAACGATTTCACATTCCATTGATGTGATGGTCATTTTATATTGTCCTTGAGGTTATAGAAGGTGTCCTTCTGAAATGCACTCAGTCTTAATGCTGTAATTCTAAATGAGTATTTTGATAAAATGCCTTATTTTAAATATGGCTTCTTATAGGTGCAACTTGTTGGTTTGGATGAAGAGAGCTCAGAGTTCATTTGCAGGAACACCTTTGATCACCCCTACCCTACCACAAAGCTTATGTGGATCCCAGACACCAAGGGAGTATATCCAGACCTGTTGGCAACCAGTGGTGACTATCTGCGCGTCTGGAGAGTGAGTAAATCCTCCCTAGAAAGAGATGAACCATGATATTAACTGTGTTGCATATTGATCTCATTTTAAATTGAGACCAGGTTTTTTTGAAGTGAGTTATTTCCCTTTCAGAGTGTCTTGTCCTTGCTACAGTGTGGAGGTTAAGACATAAAATCAAGTCAGAGCACTTGATAACTTGTTTTATTAACTGCAATACTGTTACTAAATATGAAGACTATAGGAGAAGCAGAATTATCATGGTACTTGCTGTTTTAATCACCTTATTGAAGATAGAGATGGTGATTGTGTTTTCCAGAGCTTTAGGATGTAACGCTGAGAGGAAAGAAACCCAGGATTAACACCTTATGTTTTGGAAGTGCAAGTGGAACAAGTCACGTGATGTTGCTATTTAAGTCAGATGTTTCACTTTTTCTAAAGGTGGGTGAAACAGAGACCCGGCTGGAGTGTTTGCTGAACAATAACAAGAACTCTGATTTCTGTGCTCCACTAACATCATTTGACTGGAATGAAGTGGATCCTTACCTTCTAGGTGAGACTGAAAAAATGCTACATTTTTGACATGGAAAAGGCGAAGTCCGGGTTGTGACTGACTGCTCTGTCAGTGCATGTCACTGGTTAATCTGATAATGAACCAGTGGAGAAACTTGTATACTGTAGAAACTGCCATTGTCTTAGGTTACAAAAAAAAAAAAAAAAAGTTGAGCAGCTCATGAACACTTTTTTGCACTGAAAGGTGCCCTGTCCAGTGCAGAATGGGTCACTTAGGTTGGATTAGGGGTGTTCTTCATTTGCACATAGGGAGTCTTAATCTTCAGGGCTGGTGAGCTGTTGTTGTAGCACTACGTAATGATGTACATGAACTCCTGTGACTTATTTCAGCATGTTCTGGAGTGGATACAAAACTAGGTACCAAGCTTTGTCTTTTAGGAAGCCATTTCAGCAGCAGGAGTAAAGCCAGGAGCCTTTAATTCAGTTGAAGGGGGCTGAATGCTTAAGGCTTAATTATGGGACAAATTGTGAATCCAAGATGACTGATCCAGCAGAGGTTTGTTTCCCAGAAGAGTACAGCCATTTATGTCAGGGGGATTTGTCGAGAGATTAACAGTGATAGTATGTCTTAGTAATTATTTGCTACATGATTTATTTTTTGTGTGTTGCATCTCTCGTCTCTTAAGAGCTTTACTGCTAACCCCACCTTCAGTCCACAGAAACAATCAATTAATAATAATACGCTTTCGCAACACTATGATTGAATTTTGGTTTTGACATGCACATGAGACTTACAGGATAGGAAAGTTCATCTCGGAGTTCCATCAGACTTCTGAATAGATTGAAGTAGACATGAGCTATTTACACTTTATTCCTGTGTGGAAGACTATTTCTGCAGCTAAAAGGTTTGCGTCATTTAAATGCATGGTAGACTGTTGGCTGTTTGACGTTCTTGATTTTAATTGTATGCTCTTCTTTTCGTTATTTTGATCTGTACATGTTGGAGGATATTACATTAATCCAGTAAGTGATTAAATAATTTGTGATAATATTAATTTTGCTAACAGAAGTGTTCTTGTTTCAGGTACCTCTAGTATTGACACAACCTGCACTATTTGGGGTCTGGAGACAGGACAGGTTCTGGGAAGAGTAAATCTGGTCTCTGGCCATGTGAAGACCCAGCTTATTGCGCATGACAAAGAGGTGATGGATTGTTTTGGTTGTTTACATTGTATGTGCGTTAAGCAGTAGAAAAGGAACAGAGCTTTTCTGTTTTCCTCCTTTTTCTTGAAAAATCTAATGATCCAAAAAGATAATTTATCTCAGATCAAGATATACAGTTTTGAGTACCAAACTAAAACTATACTACTGGCTGTCAAAACTGCTCTGTTTACTCATCATAGAATCTGAACTTGACAATATGTTGGTTTTACTAGATTATGCTCCAGAATATTTTAGAAAAATGAAGTAAAATGTCAAACTGGAGTTGAAATCAACTGCCTATCAAAGGCAACAAACAACTTGCAAGATTATTTCATTTTAACATAGTATTACTTTTCAGCAATTAGTATAAAAAATCTGAGTCTGGGGAATTGATGTGTTTAGTTTCAGTGAATGATCCTATAATGACATAACCCTTTTAAGTTTTGGGGTTTTTTTTCCCCCTCCTTTTGGCAAGCATAATAACTAAAAGCTTACTAGGAACATCAAATATTTGACAGGATATGTTGCAATTAGATCTGCTATCCATATGTAAAATCCATTAATTTGCGATTTAGGAGGCAGCGTGCTCACTAAAACTCAGGTTCTGTTTTTCTCTGTCCTGTTATTACACAGGTGTATGACATAGCATTTAGCCGTGCAGGTGGTGGGAGAGATATGTTTGCTTCAGTTGGTGCAGATGGCTCAGTGAGGATGTTCGATCTCCGTCATCTGGAACACAGCACCATAATTTATGAGGACCCACAGCACCATCCACTGCTGCGTCTCTGCTGGAATAAGCAGGATCCCAACTATCTTGCTACAATGGCCATGGATGGCATGGAGGTAAAGTGGCCGCTCATCTTCTGTAGGTGCTAGTGGTTGTGATTTTTTTGGGAGGTGGCTTGGTGCTAATTAGTAGTCAGTTCTTTAAACTAAGGGGGCAGTGACAGTACCTGAAACGGAGTGTGATTAAGGACCAATTCTTAGTGCACTAGCTTCAGTAGGAGTTAAAGTAGTAATTTTGGCATTATAAACTTGATCTCTGTGGCTTGTATGTATTTCAACTGTTTTTTTAAGAGGGGTCTGTGAGCCAGTTGGGCAATAGTTTTCACATACATTCTTAACTGCAAGTGTTTTAGTCACCTTGTTCTTTCTCGGTTCAGCGCATGAGGCAGTGTATCTTAGTTTGTCACCTGTGCTGCTTCAGGGAAGCACAGTTCGTTTGCCCTTGTTGCATAACTCACAAGCCCTCCCTGTGAGGTCTGACTCTTTTTGAGACACACTGACCGGCTAGAAGCTATTCTTTGAGAACAGTGTTTGCTTGCCAACCACATCCTTTAGGAAACAGCTGTATTTATAGCCTTGGCTCAAAATATTTGGTTTTCTGAAGAAACAAATAGAAAAAATGCAAGTTATTAATTTTGTTGGGTTTTTTGTTTCTGAAGGTTGTCATTCTAGATGTCAGAGTTCCTTGCACTCCTGTTGCCAGGTTAAACAACCACAGAGCATGTGTAAATGGAATTGCTTGGGCACCTCATTCTTCCTGCCACATTTGTACAGCAGGTAAGTGTGATCCATCTCTATCCAGCTGTGTTGCTGAATCTCTGGGAGTCCTTAATTGCATTTACAAAATCCTCTCTCTGCAAAAGTTTGTGCAGTTCTCTGCCTGCCTTTTGCTAAGGAATATCTGTAGTTTAGAAGCGCTTTATTAGTGACTTCCCTAACTTTTTTTATGGAAATAGACACCTACTATAGCTTATTGTGTGGAATTAGTCAGCCTAGTCCCCAAACTGTGCATCTGCTTTGGCTAAGCTATATTATTTTAATGCTCCTTAGTTTTTTGCAATCTAGTTCTTAAATGTTTTCACTTGATAGGAATGCCACTGATCATTTGTTTTTCCAACTCTGTCCTGGATAATGTTTAATGATCAGAGCTTATTTTTTTGGAGCATAGTTGTATCACTGTATTTCTGGCTTGAATATTCGTCAGGACTGCAGCAGCCTTATCCTATCTAGGTTCTTGGGTCATACACTTGTTAGTAGCCATGTATGGAGATCTCGTTATACTTTGATTCTACTTATGATTTTTCCCTTCCATTTGCAGCGGATGACCATCAGGCTCTCATCTGGGATATCCAGCAAATGCCTCGTGCCATTGAGGACCCTATCTTGGCCTATACAGCAGAGGGAGAAATCAACAATGTACAGTGGGCATCAACTCAGCCAGACTGGATAGCTATCTGCTACAACAACTGCCTGGAGATTTTGAGGGTGTAACATGACTGCTTCATGCCACACTGAGGCAGGGCTGTATAATTTCCCCTCCCCTCTAAAGTAAGAACAACACAAGTCAAGTGGCCAGTATCTGTTGTTGCTTTGCATCTACTGTTACAAGAAACTGTTAGAAGAATCAATGGCAGGTGTCTCCTGTCTCTCCAAGACTCTAAAATGCAGAGACGTGCTGAGCCTCTTGGACTTTCTGGGATCTGGTTTTCTTTTTTTTTTTTCTCCTCTGTTAAAGTTCTGTATATTTGTTTGTTGACTGTATTAGTAAGCTTGCAGGCTTTTAAGTTGCTGCATATGTCCATGTGTTTGTCAGCCAGCTGAGGCAGCACATCCAACTAGTTTAATAGATGCAAGTGCAAAACAAGGTGGGGAAAAAGGCAATTGTTGTTAACAGCCACCTTGGCAGGAATCTTTATCATTCCTGTTGTTGCTGCCTGTAAAGTGTTTAAACATTTGTATGGTTTTTATATATTGGGCTAACTTTCTATTGAGTAAGGTTTTTCTCCCTAATTCTTACTTTTGATATGTGATCCACTTCCATATGCCCAAAGCAGGATCTATTTCTTGATACAAATCACAGTAACACTGCAGGCTCCCTGGCAGTAAAGGCCTGCCAGAATTAATGGTTGCCTTGGCTCTCTATACCTGGTTACCTGGGCAGAATTTTCTGGTGCTGTGAAGTACAAGTACTTGTTGCACAATTTCTTTACACTTTTCTGATGCTAGAGGCAGTTGTTACTATAGTAGGCCTTATTTTTAAATTTTAAGTGAATTTGTGTGTATCCTGCAGTTGTGTTAGCTAACAGAATGGTAATAGGTTTCAGAAAGAAGATATGTGCATGACTTAAGCTCCTAGGAGATTAATGACTCCTGAAAAAATGTGATTTGTAATGGACTTGGGATTGACACTTCCAATCAAATGGTTTCCCCTCAGAAAACTTATTATCTAAACCAAAATAAAATGGTTTCACACTATGTAGCTTGCTTGATTGGCAAATAATATGAGCAATATTTTGTGGTTAGCCTGTTCCTTGGAGCTTCTTTGCATTTGGCCTGTGTTCCTGGGAGTTCTTGAAAGGAGTGCAAAGCAATCTTTTTTCCCAAAGTGTATTTGCTTTGTACTGTCAGGTCTTGTTGATTGAGCAAGATGAGTTGGAAAAGCTGATCCACTATCCAAATGAAAGCTGTTTCTCTGAAAGAAATTATTTCCTAATGTAATGCACAACGATGGGCTTAAAAGGAAAGAAACCATGCCATAGAGGCTAAGGTTTGGTACTTGTCATCCTCATATCTTTTGGGGATGTGCCCAAGGGCTTCTGGTTTGAATAGTGGATTGCTCTACAGGAATACTTTTCAATCAGAGCTGAGTGGATTAGGCAAGATAAAAATCTTTGTTGATAACATAGCTACTCGGATGAATGCTCCACAGTACTCTCTCAATGAAGACATGACAACCGTAGCTGGTCTGTAAGGGTATACCAGCTGGGTTTTGATGTAAATGTCAGAAAGTATCAAAATTGTCTTTCCACCCAATGAATATTTACCTGCAACTGGAGGCAGCATTATAAATAGTAGGACACTGGCAAACTTGAACCTTGTCAGTTCGTGCAGGAAAGGCAAGTTGGGAAAAGTGATTGCTGTGAAACGGTGAAGCTGATGCTGAAAGCGCTGTCAAATACAGAACAGAATTTGAAAAGTTTTTGTCATTCTGGATGTGCAGAAATATTCTACAGGCTGCTTCTCAACATGGAGCTCAGAAAAGCACTGTCTTGTGAATTTGATAGGAATTCATTAGGGACAGCTTTATTCCATCACCCCTTTTAGTATCGGAGAACCAAGAGACTCTTAACATGATTCAAGCTCATGTTTTGTCAATGACATTCTGTGTTCAGTTGTGGGATTTTTGACAGAAAGCTTGATTTGACTTGAAGGTCAGTTTTTCTTATTAGCAGCAGTGCTGAGAGTCTCTTCCACAGACAGATTTGATCTAGATGTCAGAACAGTGTTAGCCAAGCAGTTAGGCTATCACTTTTTACAATAACACTTCATCTTGAACTGGAAAATACATTATGCAGAATGAAGTGAAAATTAGGATTTTTCTTAGCAGAGGCAGATAATGGCATTCACAGCTTTAGATACTCATATAAAAATACGTATACAGGCTTGTCATGTACTGTTTAATTTCAAACAGTAGGCATAATATGCGGTGTAACGAAGAGGGAGCTACTGCTAATACTAGTATTTTCAGTAGTCTCCTTTATGCTTCAAAGTCTCATTCTTGTATAGATGGCATGAGTAAAAGATGAATGCATCTGTTGCTTAGCTTAAAAATGCATCTTTTGCAACTGTAGTATTGTGCTTTAAAAGAAGATGTAAGATAATTTAGTTGAAAGCGAAGTCACTAAAAGACTCCATAAGCTATATTAAAAGGCAAATGTGGCTTATTCCTAGAGGAATACAATCTGTTACGCTAATATGATGAGAAGAGAGCATGTATAAAGGGGCTAATAGTCTGAATAGCCAGGTAGCTTTTGCTACTGTTTGAAAACAATCCTGTTACAAACCTGAAGAGGATCCAGTGTCGGTCCTTCCATCCATAAAACTGCTCAAAATTAATTTGTGGAATTGGATATTAACTCCAAACTCATCAAAGGCAAGTAAAGGAATCTTATAGGCTCCAGTGGATTCTATAAAAAGCATATATCCTGTTTGTTATAGCCAGTTGGGGTACCTTCTAATCTGTAACACATTGCTTTGGGTGTAATCCATTGTCATTCCTCATATGAAATTACATTTGAAATCACTAGAGGCTGTTTTGGAACAGAGAAATGCTACTTAAAATAGCTTCTTTTCAAAGAAGTCACTTGAAAGGTTAATGACTGAAAAGACATTAAAATCCTCATGGGTGAGATGTTCTGTAGTGCAAATGGCACTGCCATACAGAGCAGGAAGTGAGAGGCTTTGGTGCCCTTTTGCCAGCACCTGCTGACACAGCGGCAGGGAGCTAACTGTCTACTTGCTGGTTCAAGTTTATTTGCAAGATAAAATAAAACCCTAAGACTTGTCACTGTAGCCTGTGAATCAGAAGATATAATTTATCATATTTCACTCATTGAACATTCAATCATGTTGGGTGTAAAGCCCCCAAAAGAATTATTTTTTCCCAAAGTTTATAAAAATAAATACTTTGATACTTGATTCCAATTATTTTGTGCTTACTGCACAAGCAGAGGATGCAGAGCAAATGCTTTCAAATGCCTTGCATCTCTTGAGTGTAAAGGTAAAGTTAAGGCAAAAGTCTGAGCACCAGTGAGACTAGCAAAGCAGAAAATCACATGCTATTGTTGGTACAGGCAAGACTGTTTCTGGGACAGAAATATTTTTCTCTGACTTAACTAGTTCTGTATCATTTCTCCAGTTGATTAATTCAAAGTACTAAGCTATTGTTTGGTTGTTGTGTTCTTTTTAAACCGATCTTTCCATAGATTCCTATTACTAATCTGTTGCTAGTACATTGTTTTCTCAACCAGGAGATCTTCATCATGTAAAACTCAGTGAGGTGAAAACCTACAGAAAACACGTTGGATGTTGAATTAGTGTATAGTATGCCAACTCTGTTAATTGTCTAAATGAAATGGGCTGTGGTAGGCTGCATCTATGGGAATTGTACTTCTGTGTGCAGGGATTTAAAAGGCAAGGATTTGAGTGCTTTGACAATCTATTTAGAAAGAAAACACAGTGGTTTCAAAGAATGATACGAAAGGAGACTGATAATACAGGTTGTTCCTTATGGAACCTTGAAATGTACTTAACGGGGGAGGCATTGCCTCTTATAAGTCAAAGTTAATGATCCTTTCAAAACTTAGCTGTAATTACTCTCCTGAATGTTCTGGATAATAGTAAAAAGATCTATTTTTGCCTGGTGTTGCAATGAGAAAGCTGCATCAGGCTTGACTGTAGATCACTGCCTGCCAGAGACTAGGTGAGGGGAGGAGACCAATATATTGGAATTCACAGATGCTCTTGTGCTGGTTTTAAATGTAAATGAAGAAAGCTGAGCGTGTCTGTTTTGTTCTCTTGCGGATGGCACTTTAACAAGTATATTTTTGGTAAGATTAGGGAGAGAGTCATCTTTTCCTCAGCCCTTTTATGGTAGGCATTTGTCTGTGTTTTGTATAAAATGTTAAATACAACAGTCACTGAAATCCTAAACTGGCTATGGTTGTCAGCATGTAGCGCACCCTCATCTGTTTCTACTGAACACCAAAAATGTGAGCACTTGACAATGCTGTTAAGTTAAACTGAAGCTTTGTATTCTGAGACTGACATAATCTTGCAGGGCCAACCCAAGTAATGTAGCACTGCTTGTCACCGAGAGTCCCTTTTGCTTTGCTTAGGAACTTGACAGTGTTTGGGAATCCTCTTTTCTACATTCCGAGCGTGATGGCAGTAGTGGCAGGGTGGTTGTGTAAAGATATAGCTGGATTTTTTGGATAACTTATTTTTGTGATACAAAAAATGCATCTGCTGTCTGTAAATTCACACAACCTAAATTCTTGAACTTGTCAGTTCCTTATGGTAGTGGTGTTTTAAGTCTTTCAGAACATCCTGAAAAGGATGAACGGCAGCAAGGGTAAGCTCTTGGCTCAATACATTACACAGTTACAGTTCCATCAAAGTACTGAAGGGTTTAGTCTTCCCACTGCAGGTTAGCAAAATGGTTCTACCACATCAGATCCACCCCGTGTTACCCCGTCCGGTTAACACAAGTTCTCTCTGATATGTATTTCCTGCTTTCTACTCTCAGACAGGTATTCTAGAACAGGCCTGTATTTATTGTACAGTGGACATTAAAAGGAGGTGTCCAAAATCATCCTGGAATGGGCAAGGTACTGTCAACTATGTTCCTGTTTCTCTTGATCTTTTTAGAGAATCCAGGGAATTAATTGTATGTGGCACTTAAAGAGCACTTTCTCATGCTTACTTAGAGATGCAGCTGTATTTCCCCCTGCTTACCCCAGAAGAGTCAGAAATGCCCCATTCTCAAGGATATCAAGAGGAGTTTAGCAACCCCTGACTCTTTTGTTTGGTTGGTTGGGTTTTTTTGGAAGAGATCTTGAGAACTTTAGCACCTTTCACCAGCACTAAAAAACAGTAATTAAAAATGCAACTAAATACCAGTCACGGAATGCTCATCTAGTGATTCATGGCAGGCTCCAGGGGCAAAGGCACTTCTGAGACCTGCTTGCTGCTGCCTGATTGCAGGTGAAAACTTTGCCCAGTATCTTAGTGGCCTTTTGTGCAGCCCCTGATACTCTGCATCAAGCTAGAATTTCCATAATCATAAAAATAAAAACAAATTATCTGTGTGGCTTCTGTCACATTTATTTCTTTTCACAAAAACTAACAAAATGAAGAAATAAGCTATTTCCTGAAAAAATATTGTGGCCATGAGTAGCTGTAAGCCTGCATTCCAGCTCTCATCCATTGGAGTTTGCTTTCCTGGTTGTAAAAGATGCGACTCTCAGGTCTCCTCTGTTCCAGATGAGGATTGGTCTGTCGAATCTGAACAAAGGCAGAAATGCAAGAACCAGTGAATGAAAGAGTCCTAGTACAGCTGAAAAGCGATGCGTTGCTTTTTTTTTTTTTTGACAACCTGGTAAATATGAATTATGAAATCTGCTATTTAAGAAGAACCTTTTTTTATAAACTTGGGTTGCTAGCAGTGTAAAATGTAATTTAAATTTGTTGCACCGAAGCATTTTTGTTACCAGTAGTCAAGTAGATGTTTACTTTTATGTGTGTTTTCCCTCTGCTCTTCCCATTCACAGTCCCGTCGTGGTAACTTCCTGAAGGTGTAATCTTTGTAGCATGATTGTACAAACATCCATATGAAATTCCTGACTTCTTGTTCTCACTAAAATATGTTAAAGCAATAGTAGTTTACTTCTGTCCTTCTTTTCTCCACCTTCCGTATTGAGATTTGCAACTTTGCTACTATACTGTCCTAGAGGAATCCTAGTATCCTGCTATTCAACAGACATATGTTGTTGACATGGATAACTGCAGTGTCCCTATATTCCTTTATTTTTATGGAGAAAATACAAAAGGTTTTGTTACAATGGATTTTAACACCTGAGTCATGGAACCGTATTGTTGAAACTCTGTAAATTTTAAGGCAATTTTCTGAAATCGCTTGAAAGTGGAATGTTGCATCCTTTTATGCTATTTCCTGCTTCCTATGTAGTTTTATTCAGATTTTTTAACCTTCTTTCTAAGT